TACTTGTTTCTAATGCGTATAATTTTTTACAGTTTGCAATATTAATCTGAGTAATTAATTCAATAAAATAATGTCGGTAAATAGTATGTAATGAATTATATCGTATTTATTACATACTCCAGTATATCATCTAAGTTACAAGATAATAAACTTAGTTACAATCATACGTTGCTATGTATTGTTTACATAACTATGTTGTTGTTTTAAAATAGTGTACATATTAAAAATGGCGAATGACTACATTATGGAAGATCAAATTGAGCTGGTAAATTGTAAATTTAAATCCACTTATAACGCATACAGTCTTGTTGGTAAAGGTGTTTTTGGTAAAGTGTACCATGTTAAATCTAAAGCAGACAACAATGATTATGCTGTTAAACAAATTACAATGCTTAAAGGTATGTATAAAGTTTATTTGATTTAAATTTATTCAATAAACAGAATATATAAAAGTAATATAGTATTAACAATACTCATTCTTGCCTTGCTTAAATTTTGTCCTATATTTTATTCAAATTCTGTTACATGGAAGTTTAAATAATTGTTAATTATTTAAAAAATATACAGATGATCCAAATGACAAATATATTATACGGGAAATTAATATACTGAAAGCATGTGATCATGTTAACGTGATCAAATATTGCTCAGCGTGGCGCGAACAAGACACCCTCGATAATAAATTTGATAATATTTACATCATGATGGAGTACTGCAAATACAACCTTCTAAATGTATACAATTATATCACGAGTATATACTCTCGGAATATAAATCAGGTTATTTGCCCTGTCTCATATTTTATCATACTTACTATGGTGGAAGAGATTCTCGCAGGTCTTGATTATTTACATAGCATGAATATAATGCATAGAGATATTAAGGAGACAAATATATTGGTGAAACACTATGGGCCTCATTGGATTAAGATATGCGATTTCGCATTGGCCAAGGTGGACGAGTCGACATCGGAGCATACTGTTTCCGTGGGAACACATTCGTATATAGCACCCGAGGTAAAATGGGGTGGTGAATACAATAATCCGGCTGATGTGTTTAGCTTGGGCATTATGTTAATGCAGTTTTTCAACGTCAATATAAACAAGTAAGTTGTATAATTTATACCAATTTGTTATAAATTAATTAATGCTAACTAATTTGCAGTCAGACCGTACATTCGGAATTAAAAGACGTATTAGCCAGAATGATTTCTGGTAAAGTGAGTGATAGGCCTAGTTGCTCGCAAGTACTTACCATCATCACTCAACCACCGATTGTTTATGATGTTGATATAGTTCGCACCGATCATCATAATATATTTCTTTTGGATCAAAATGAATTTTTAAAAGATTATTATCATGATAAAATGCGATTCAAATCCACTAATTAATGTGAGAGAGAAAGAAAGAAAGAAAGAGAGAGAGAGAGAGAGAGAGAGATTTTATTATAATATATCAATTATCTAAATAATACTACAGTGCAACTTCTCCATAAGGAACGACCAGTTGCACGAAATAAGTGTTCCATATAGAGAGAGTCCTCATCGGAAGGTCCTGTTATAAGTATAGATACTCTAAAATATATTTCAAATAATTCCTTCAAAGAAGGTATTCCCCCAAGAGAGGTTGCACTGTGTATATAATTTGGTATTTATAAAGCAAATAAATAATATTACTATATAACTATATATATGCCTTACGAAAAGATTGACTAGGACTACTGAATGTCTTATTTTAATTTTCAATAAAAGTTAAAATTTTTAGAACTATTTATATATAATTTTTATAAAAATTTTCAATTTATTTTAAAAATTGTTGAATTATTTAAAAAATTCAAAATAAAGTACATTATTAAAGTATAATCACTAAAATTCGTTAGGGCCACTTTAGTGCCACTTTTTATAACGAGGTTATACTTTAGTTATAGCATGATTAATGCTATCAAATATGAATCTGCCTATAAATCGCTGTATTTATAAGACATGCAGTATTGACTATTTACTATTTTATTACAACATGACGACCCCTGAGTATAATATTATATTTATAATCTGTTTTAAATTTTAATTAATATTATTAATTTTAATTTACAATAAATTATAAATATAAGTTAACAAACTATCATTTAACCAACTATTTTAACGCAAGAGAATTTATAATGTTTGGTACATGTAGGGTTGCCAACTGTCCACTATTCAAGTGGACAGTCCACTATTTCGAGACTCTGTCCACTTAGAATTGATAGGCAAATAGTGGACATAGGAATGTCCATTATTTAATTTTTTGACAAATGATTTAAAAAAATTTTAATAGTACAAATTAATCATTAAATTGTGACAAATGATTTGTTACTTTGAAATTTGTAAATGTATTTATCAAATATTCTAAAATGTAACAATTATAAGGCCACAACATAATAATTTGATATGCTTTTCTTTGAAAATAGTGGACAAATAAATACTCTTTTTAATTTTATATGTTAATTTTGCAATAATAAATATTATTTGTAATTATAATTTGTAATTATTTGTAAAAGTGTCCACTATTAAAACACTAACTAAATCATTATAAAATAGTAAAAATATTGATTGTTAAAATATAATCAATTTTTTAGCAAAAATTTTAATAAACGTTAATAATAAAAATCAAAATTTAATTCTAATTTCTCTGTATAGAACGTTGCTAAATTTAAAATTTTAAAATATTAATTATTTCATATAGAATTTATTAAATAATAACGAATTAGTGAAGTATATGAAAAATAACTTTAAAAATACCACGTAAAAAAACTATGTCCACTATTTGTCCACTATTTTTAAAAGTTTCAGAGCAAATGTCCACTATTGAAAATTTTTGAGTTGGCAACACTAGGTACATGTGTATTTATTGTTTATTAATTAAATAAATATTCTATTAAATTTGAAATAAAAAATTTTTGTTGAGGATCACAATAAGTATAATAATTTTAAATGATAAATGTCAAAAATCATGTAGATTTATACGTTACTTTGAGTTTGGACTTATTATTTTAATAATTATTAGATGTTAATTACATTTTAAAACTATTTTGCCATTTTAAAAAAACAATCAAAGAATTTCTTTAGAAAATCTTAAGGAATCTCCCGAATAATTTGCTTAAAAAATAAATATATTAAGGAAATATGGGAAATGTTTTGGCAACACTAAGTTTGATACGTAATAAACAATTATTTATTACATTTATTTATCAATTATCAGTAAGAGAACCAAGCAACTATCATGCTTGTTATAACAGAAGATATAACGGAAATTACATTAATAAGTATATATAAGTGTATACATATATTCATGTTGTATATTTTATATCATTCTATACATTATCTATAGAAATTATTTTAATAAACATAAAGATGGTTGTTAAAAAGAGTTCAAAACCAAACATTGATTGGGTTATACCCGTAAAACCTGGTCATTTTCACAACGATTTTACTATTATAAACACGTTGGGGAAAGGTGAATCTAAAAGTAATGCCACTGTTAGTGCCATAAAAATGTACGAACGTCAAGGTAAATTAAAGAATATACTTTTAAAATAATAATTGTAATTATACATATTCATCAACATACATGTATATGTATAAATTATAAATGATCAGGAAATATATTTAAACATTATTTAATTAATTACACTTAATTTTTAAAATATAATTACAGTTTTTAATCTCTCTCTCTCTCTCTCTCTCTCTCTCGAGATTGTTTATTACAAATAGAGTCCATTTACACGCATCTCAATTAATCCCGACGGGAGTTGAAGAGACTTCTATTTGTCTTTTAAAAGATGCGAATGGCCACAAACACAAGAGTTATAGACATATTTTTAACCGCAGACATAATGCACAATGCATTGGAAATGCAATGCTTTTTACATGAGTAATGTCATTCAACAAAATTATAATGCATTAGGCCCTATGTTTGCGATTAAAGCTATGTCCATAACTCGTGTGTTTGTGATCATTTGCATGTTTTGAAAGACAAATACAGGTTGCTTCATTGTTCTGGTAATCACCAGATCACTCCTGTCCGGATTGATTGAGTTGCGTGGCAATTTTATTTTAAATTTTCAAAAAAATTATATATATTTTTTGTTTAATTAATGTTTTTGTAAATGTACAGACGTTTGCACAGAATATCAGCCTGTGTTGAGTGCGCGACGTTTTAAAAAAAACAATAAATTTAAATAATATTTTATACATTATCTATAGGAGTAAATTTTATAAACCACAAGAGGGTTGGCAAGGATCGATTATGGGGGCAGTTAGACCCTGATCATTGCGTTCAATACCGTTACCATTGGTTTGAAAATAGTGAAAAATTAAAGGAGCACAAAAACAAACATGTTAAACTGCTATATGTTCAAATGGATTTGTGTTGGTTCTCATTGCGAGCGCTCATGGACAAAATTCAAACATATTTTGGCCATGCTAAATATCAATTATTGCCACCCGTGGGTTACTACATGGCATCGGAATTATTTACCGAGATACTATTTGCAATTCAATATTTACATTCATTTAACATTGTACATCGATATATTAATCCGGATAATATACTTGTTAAACACGAATCATGCAGCGGGCGATTTATTAAGTTAGGTGATTTTGGTCTCGAAAGCACAAGATCACTACCGGCTGACTACCAATCGCAAGTACAGTCTATCAATGATGATAGTGACCGATATGTAGCGCCGGAAGTAAAGAATGGCAGTATTTGTGATACAAAAGCTGATGTCTATAGCGCTGGTGTTATTGCCCAACAATTGTTTAACTTTGATGTCAATAAAATCGGGTATAACTGTACTTATATTTTGTATTATAAATTACTTATTACACAAATTTATTCGACAATATTACACTGTTATTAAATATTTATAGTGTTAATACCTCACGGATATTTGCCTTGGATAAAAGTGTAGATCTGGCTGTGATTAGTTTTTTATTTAATTGGATAATAAAATTGTTTAACATGTTGTATTTTATTCATAGAAAATTGGAAACCAAACACAAAGAATACTATGGTAAAATAGAAGAGATTGTGACCAATTGCACCAACGGACTTATTGCCAATCGGCCATCATGTATGGAAATACTTGAGTGCCGGAGCAATTGGGCACCGGTATATGAAAGTGTTAGAGTAGATATCGGCATGATGGGCATTGATTCAAGCGTTAATTATGATCACGATAAAAATTTTGTTGAATATTTTTTGGCCGTTAAACGCAATGCTAACGATTGCGCAGAAAAATCAGCAAACGATGCAAAAAACAAAATGGAGCTCGAGTTGGATTTTTCAGTATTTCAAAATGGTAAATTTAAACGAGACTTTGAACTCAACAATATTCTGACCACACCGGGTAGATATGGTAACATTTTGAACACCATGTCCAATCGAGATACTATACGTTATGCTGTCAAAAAAGTTAAGTTAGATGGTAATAATAAAAATTAGATTGTTTTTAAATGAATTAATTCATGTGTTAAATATTTTAACTAGGTGAGCACGAACTAAAGCTAACAATTAAATCAATAGAATTATGGTCAAAATTGGACAATGAATATTTCGTAAAATACCATGATCATTGGGTTGAATTTGAAAACGAGCCAAATGACCGTGTTCCATATTTGTACATTCAAATGGTGTTATGCTGGCTATCATTGGGTACACTAATTGAACAAATGCTTAACTACTTTCAATCAGAGCGCAAACAATTGTATAACCCATTGGGATATTATATGGCATCTGAGTTAATGGTAGAAATTGTGACCGCGGTGAAAATATTACACACTGGCAAACCGCCAATAATACACCGTGATATAAACTTGAATAATGTTTTAATATTTCCACACAACAAACATCCTGGTAAGTATGTAAAATTGTCGGATTTTGGCCTGGCCGTTTACCACGATCCCCAGGCCATGTCACATACACAGAATAAGGGCACTGAACGTTATATGGCACCTGAGGTGAGGGGTGGGCGCAGGTATAATACTTTGGCCGATATTTACAGTCTGGGAATGGTTGGCCAAGATTTGTTCAATTTTGATAATAACACAATCGGGTAATTATTATTGTATTATTAATAATTTATTATACATTATTGTTGTAAATTAAGTTTCATTTTAAAGTCTTAACCCTAGAAGCTTAAACTGGGAGATTAGGCTCCCATTTGCACTTTGAATTTCAATTAAAAATCAATAAAGAGTGTAAGCCAGAATAAATTTCAGTAATGCCTCATAAATAGTTAGCTTTATAAATTTCTAAAGTTTTATTATTGTCAAATTAAGTTATCATGGTTAAATTGATTTAGTTAAAACGTTTGGGATAGTATTCTCCCAGTTTATGCGCAATGTAACTTTTTTCATGCAGTATAAATAGTGCTAATTTT